TTCGATTAGCTCCTGTTGTTGGATGAATCGGCTTCACGGATGTCACGGATAGTGACAGCCTATTAGCGGCGGTTGGGGGTGAGCCCCTCGTAAATGTCAACCCAGTGCTTGTTCCAGTATCGTAGGCCCTAATCGGTCACGAGACCCATGCACTTGACGTCTGACTTGACAGTGTTGAGTCACTTCTTCAATTGACAGCCATGTCGGTATCTCCAGTTTGAACTTCGATCCGTCGATGGCTGGCGAAGGACATGTCCAAACCATTGGAATGGGCGATGCTGGATGTATGACGGTACACTTGGTAGTTGGAAACACCGGCGATATAGTTCAACGTTGGAAAGTTGATACTGCCAGGAGACTCTTAAGAGGCGTCTAAGACACCAAAGATCGAAGACTTCGTGCGATAGAATGTTCGTCTTTCTGACTGGCCATATTTCGTACGCATATACTAACACCGATCTGATGGATACTCTGTATATCAACAACTTAGTACACAAGCTGATGTCTGAGCGAGGTCAGAATGTTCTAGCTAGCAACCGTAATTGATTTCGAGCCTGCGCGATTGGGCTTCTGATTTCTTCTTGGGCCTGTATATTGGCTAATATATTCGAGCCCAAGTAGCGGAAGCAGCTAACTTCTTCGATGGGTTGACCACTGATAAACGTTGGTTGGGCTGTGCTAAGGTACGTAGTCAGGAACTTCGTCCTGCGTATGTTAATCGTTAGACCGACCGATTCAGCGAAGCCGGTGATTCGGTATAAAATTGGTTGTAATGCATGAGGAGTATTTGCGGGTTCGAATCCCGCCAAATGCCGCGAGTTTTTTCACAATTGGGTCAACTAAATTCTGGCAATGTCATCGGCATATACCATGTCAGGTAATCTGGGTTCAGGACTCATTTCACATCCGCTGTCAGGTAGAATTGATTGATGCATCACCTAGTCAATCAAGAAGTTGAAAATAATCAGGGAAAGAGGGTAGCCTGAAGTCAATGGGAAAGAATCTTACTCTTCACAAAGGACTCTTAATCGGGCTGGTGTTTTGCTATAGTAGGCTTTATCAGATTGAGCAACTTTATCAGGAGACCGTCAGCAAGCAAGATTTTCCATATGGCTTCTCTGTCGATGCAATAAAAGGCGATCTTAAAGTCAATGAAACAGGCGGTGGTGATCTGTTGATTCTGATGTCGGTGTCAAAACATCCTCTACCTGGACAAAACGCCCCTTGGTTAGGACGAGTGCGTAAATTGCGCTCAATCGGAAATCTATTCCGAAGGATGGTCGCCAACATTTTGGCGGCTATGCCGATGAGCCTGATGCCGCGATAATTGGGACACATAGACATCGCGCTTCGATATTTGCAAGATGATGGACAATGACCAGTCAAATAGGATGACCGCCGTAGACCATACAGTCATGTGCAGTCGATGAAATGATATTGCCGAAATAGAACAGTCAGCTTTGTAGACTTCACCCTGGATACTATCCTCAGCTGATGCCTTCTTATCTTCCAATCGTGGTAATGCTCTTTCCAATCCCGATCTCGTAGGTGGCTCGCAGTCACTATCGTATGGAAGTCCAGATGATACCCGTGGGTTCAAAGATGGACATATTGGCGGATCCAGTAGTTCTTTGAAGTCCGTTTGCCGTCGATCGATTTTTTCAGCCTGATAAGGGTCTCCACAGGAAGCCCGTTGTGCCGTCGCCCAATCAGAAGCCGCCCTTTTTGCGCGGTGTCGCGCTGTCTTGATCACCCAAAACTGGCCCACGTTATTGTAGCCATTTGCGTGTCTGACCCCGCCTCCCTATTAGCTGAGATACACATCTGTGATCGATTTGCCCAATATTTGCACTCCCTACCCACCCACGCCTGATCTTAGTCGGTTCTGGCTGTTCGCAGCAAAAAATATCTTCGTGAGCGGATCAGCGCCATGTACTGCGCTTTTTTTCTGCTTAATACGATAAGGCGAAGGAGCAGCGAAGGGAAAAGTAAGCTAATTTTTTTTCGGCCACAGTGTTGGCAACGCAAAACAACCTCTCCTGGGGGCTGCTTTTTGTCTTATTGACTGTACGTGTGTCAGTAAATACTTCCCCTCCCTCCACCAAGTGGTGCGAATATTCTCGCCATCGGGGATATCAACAGGACCACCTAGGTCGGGCCTGATTGATAGCAGCCTCCCTGTAAGTACCAAACGCGTTGGGTTACTGTCACCCCATGCCGTGCGGGTGTTTGTGCCACATTTTTCCGGACACCCTCGAATGCCTGCTGTTTTACCAGGCATGACAGCATGTCCGATTTCCTGCAAGGGCACGGTGATCTTCATTCCGTTTTCGGTAGGTTTGCGTTATCTTGGGTGGTCAGGTCAGGTTTACAGTTGTCTACTGATCGTAACCGGACTGGCGACGACCAGTTGACGTCTTCGATTTCAATTCCTTATATGGTAGTCGTCCGCTTTGATGTCCAACAAATAAGGTCACTGAACTACATTAGACGCCTAATTCGTGAAAAATGCCCACTCATGCGCAAATCAACACCAATTCGTGAACCTAAGCCTTGGAATCATAATGAAAAACCTTAGGCGAACTCAAAACTTGAATCAACCATGAAAAGCACTACTAATTTATTTAGAAATGCAAACGTTTTTTTTAAACAAATTGGCAAAACCTAAACCGGTGACTTGAAACTGTAAGTGTGACAAATAAATGTAAAGTTTGTAAACATGCCAGTTCGTTTATGTCTGAAAACTCGCACGAATATGATATTTAATTGCCGAGGAAAAATGAATTTCCACCATAAAAGTGAGTGATGAATATATCTCAGATGAAATACAGGGTGTCCCAGAAGTAACTGATCCTTTTGATTTGCCAATAAAACGAA